AAAAACATTCGAATGGTGCTGGTGTGACGTAGTGCTTGCTAATCGGTCTTCGTTCTGATTCCCATCTCGCTTGGTGGGCAAGATTTCGTGCGAAAGGCAACACCTTAGCCGATTCAATGCTCGCCTGTGTAGAGGCGTCAGACCGAACGCCTTGCATTCCATCGCTCCCAGCATCTGCCTGTTACCAAACTAATGTACCCGCAGATGATCAGCCGTCCCCTGTCCATAGCAGGCCCTGGCAGTCCGCCTTTTTTTTACAGTCAACCCATCCGAGTATTTTGACTAGGCCAAGAACACTATCCCCTCAGGTAACTTCCAAAGAATGGTGCTACATGCGCGACGATGAATGCTTGCCGAGCGATCGTAGCTCACGAATAACCGCTGTTTGGCTTGTCCGACCGTAGGAGGGAACCACCGCAATAGCTTGACGTGGCTGCTTCTTTGATGCGATCGACATCAAGATTGAGTCTACCCGATCCCTTGGTGTGGTGCTCACTGTGATCGCACCTAGGATCTTGTCACCGCAACGAGTGTCCTGACCTGTCGCCCGTGCATAAGGCGGCAGGACCGCTACTCAGTTACCTAGCAGGGTTTGCGGGCCAGTTGTTTGGACTAGCCATGACAGAGTTGTGAGTCGAGTCAACACCTTGATCGACCTCGAGGTTAGCTTCGTAAAACACACGCCCACGATTCGGAGAAGAGCCAGGACTTCCTCCTCGACCGTGCCGTAGTTCAGGTTGTTTAACTTTTGGATCAGACTCGTGAAGGTGACGGGTATGTGTACACCTTCACGCCCTTGCACCAAGGCTGCCGAAATAGCTCAATCACACTCGTAACGTACAACTACTGGTGTCCAATCCGAGTCGGTATGTCGTAACAGTGGTGCGGCGGCGATCTTGTTTTTTAAACTTTAAACGTAGTACGGAACCAGTTCCACTTATCCCGTCGCTTGCAGCAACCGTTTGTCCCTAGTGATCAGTCTCCTTCGCATCCCCAGTCACATTGTTGATCTTCTGGTCCCACAGTTCATACCAGATCGATGCGTAGCTCGAAAATTCCGTGATGAATCGGCTGTATAGTTGAGGCTACCAAGGAAGGACTACATAGAGCGTAACTCGAACGGGGACGGCAGCTATACCAGCGACGCTAGATCCTTCGGATTGGCCCCGAGGCTATCATCTGACTTTCGGTGGCCAAAGTAATCCACCTTGCGACATCCCCACGAGCCCTTGAAGTCACTGATCAACAGGTCCCACCGATCGCTGGTGTCCAGGAACTTGACGCCTTCTCGCAGGTAGTCTCAGAAATCAACAGTCATCGGTTTATGTAGGATCATCGTCCTAGTGCCGGAGGCCCCAGATTGTCGTTTGACTTCCTCGCTGGAAGACGGCCATCGTTCCAGACTGGTCCTTGTCGTTCAGATTCCGCAGATAGCCATACAGGGCATTTCCAGGAGCCAGTGGTAGATCTGCGTCGCGTTCAGCAGCCCAAAGGTCATGAGAAACTATTCGAACAGCCCGAACGGTGTGGTGAAGGCTGAAACTAACGGCGCTCCTCATTCATCTGAACAACAAAAAAAAATCCGCTCATATTGTCGAGAGAGCAACAACAGAGTACCTTGTCAAAATCATATAGCAGATCGTTTGGTCACAGGCGTGGGGTAGAGCATGAGGTGCGTCAAGCTGTTAGCCAACCGGTGGTTGATGCAGATCATGATTTCGACGCCATTCTTCTTGATTACGACCACGGTTCGTGACGCTCAACAAGAGGAAAACGCTAAAATGGTCTTCGCTGACAGTAGTCTATTGATCAGGTCTGACAGCTTCCCGCGAGACTGTGGCACAACCTCCCTCGCACGTTGACGCACCGGTTTGGCATCTCCAACGTCGACATTGCAAAAATGACTTGCACAGCTGGTGGCAATGCATTACGCTTTTCGAGTAGTAGAT